CGACCAGGACGACGGCGGCCCGTCCGAGGTGCTCAGCGCCGGCGGCGCACGGCGACGGGCGTGCGGCCCCGCTTCGTCGCGGCGCGACGAGGAGGCCGGTGTCGCGGACGGCGGTCATGAGGCCGTGTCGTCGGGCACGGTGGTCCGGCGACGCCGCACGACGGTCACGCAGGAGGCGTCGTCGGGCGCGCGGAGCATCTCCAAGATGCTCGCCGAGGCGCACAGGCAGGACTTTGTCAAGAGGCGGCAGCCGGGGCAGGAGGACCTCGCGGGGCCGGCGCACAGCGACCGCGGCACGCAGAGCGACGACGACCTCGACGACGAGGACGACGAGTGCGACGAGGTCCGGGCCGATCGCGAGGCCGAGGTGGACCTGGAGCGGGCGAGGGGGTTGGCGGGGGGGTCGAGGGGGTAATGCACGGGCGGACGAGGATGAGCACGGGAGGGCCGGAGGACGGGGATGAGGACGGTAGCATTTTGTATACCCACATATTCTGTTACGCGGTATATGTTTATGATCTTCACAATAGACATAGCTGGTAATGAACGTAGCTAGTAATGATGAATGTATCATTTACCCATCCCATTTCCGGAGGCCCTGCAGCTGTTTTCCCCTCGAATGCAGCTTACGGAAGGAACATTGTCTCGCGACGACTTGCGGCTACTCATTGTTCCAGAGCCCCAAGTTAGTTCAACAGAATATCGGCCAACGCGTGCAATGCAATGCATGTATTCCCCGGTCTCAAATCCAAGGCAGTGCTCTATAAATATCTCTACGCCATGCTCCCGCTACGTGTACAGTTGTCATGCTGAACTCCAGGCCCCCTTCTCGTTTCGGCGCGACAACAACCAGACCACCCGTCCATTCGTACCCCCGGGCATATCGTCCAGGCAACGCACGCGCCGCTCACTGCCACTCGGCATCGACCTTCTCCCAGTGGTCGAGGAAGCCCTTGAAGAACTTGACGCCGAGACCGGGATCGAGGCTGCCGGTCGTCGCGCGGATGCTGTGCATGCTGAGCTGCGGCAGGCCGGCGTCGGCGGCGCGCACGCCGAGGGCGCTGCTGAGCATGGGGCCCGACGGTGCCGCCGCTGCGCGTGTCGTTGCGGGATCTGGAAGGTCTGGGTGCGGCAGCCGGCGAGGTCGCCGACGCGCTGAGGATGGCCGTCGAGACGGCGTCGGTGTCATGTGTCGTTGGCGTCGCCGCA